GGTGGGTTACTGCAACCCCCAAATTCACCATAGTCCCCTCTCCCAGTGCCACTACTGCCTACCCTGAGTGCAGCCCCCACCCAGTCCCTCTGCCGGGAAGAGGCCAATGCAACCCCTGGCCCTGAGCCTGCAACAGGCATCTCCCATCCCTCCCCCACCATGCCTGGGCAGCCCCAGCCCACTCCACTCCACTTGCACCCCCCACACCCCTTCTCCCACGTAGACTTACTGGCAAGGTGCTGCTCTCCAAGCTGCCGGGCTGCATTCCTGGCTGTGTTCATGCTGCTGTGCACATGCACAAAGCATTTATCGGTGACATTAATTGGCTACATTGGCCAAAGAAAGCCAATTGCCGATAACATTGATTTTCCTTTTATTGGTGCCAATACGATATGGACTAATACAACGGTACAGCTATAGTAGGGGCCAATGATTTAATCAGGTTCAAAAGATAATTAGATAAATTCATGCAGGAATGAGAGTAGGGCTGCAACCTCTAGGAAGAGGAGAAAGGTAAAGGACAGACCATCGAATCCTTCAGCCGTCCAACTGAGATCAACCTTCAACTGGATGTACTTAAGTGCTTCACTGCATTTAGCTTTACATTTCTGGAGCAACAACAATGGTAACACCTGAAACATTACTTTGCTGTCTGCTACTAATCACCATGCCAAATTACCTACACCAAAAACTGTCACCCCTCATATTACTGTTTCACTGCACACACTACTTAATTTTCTTCCAGCTCTGATACAGATCACAACATGCAAAAGGGAATATGCAACAAATAAGCCACCATCTCAGGCAAGCTTCAGCTTACCTGTCACTCCCTGGAGATGCACAGCTCTGGGAAACATGCTAGAGCGATATCTACGGGGCTTTCAGAAACTACAGCTGTACAAATAATAAATGCATCACCATCCTTGTGCATCTTTAGATTTGTTGGAAGCAGACTAATGACCCGTTCCATGACTAGCACAGGACGTTAAAGATGTGATCGTCTTGGTCACCTCCGGGCACAGGCGACTGGTAGGGGAGGCATGCGTCTCCCCCGAGATGGGCCCCCAACTTGGTACCACTCAGGACAAGGCAGTTTTTTTTGCTGCGCAAGCCAGTGGTGTGTTGGAGGAGGGCACTAAGCTGCACAGAAATATAGGAATGGATATGGGACTTCTGGGCCACCCCTGGGTCCACCCACAAATTGTGGCCCCCAGACTCAGGAGGCACCAGTCACCGCTGCCTCCAGGGCTTGACTTTAGGATCATTCTTAAAAACAATGTTGAAGACCTGGCTCCGGAAAAAGGTGCTGCTCTCTGTGAGGCAGCTGTTACTAACACAGCGATTCTCCAGCAGGCTCTTACAGCACCCTGGGGCACCTGGAGATGCCTTCAAGGATGCGGCAGGGTGCCACATAAGTGTTAGCCTTATGTGCCATGCAAACAGGATTCACAAGAGAAACCCAGAAACGTCAAGTCAGAATCCAAAGTGTCCAAACCTATGTGTTCAAGCTTATATAGGCAGTCCTCGACTTACAACGTTTTCAGTTATGTTTCGCACTTACAACGTTTATAAATTGACGCCCTGTTTCAACTTTATGATGTTAGGTTCGACTTTACAATGCTTGATCCGATGCCACACTGACTAACAAGTTTTGTGCCACTCATCTCCCTGGAGAACATCTGTCCAAATTTCCTTGGACACTTTCTTTAAGAAGCAGACAAGACTCCAGAAAAACCTGTGGCCAGGACTCCTGAGAAGACTCCAGCCAAGAGCCCTTCAAAAAGTTCAGCAAAGTCACCTCAAAGAAGTCCTTCCAAATCAATATGATTGTTACTTACAATATAAATACATTAGTGTAGCTATATTACTCACCTATAATTGATTAAGTACAACATTCTGGGTTATTTTTGGTGAAAATAGGGTATTGGGCCTTGGATCAGGAACCAAACCTCCCATTTATAACATTGTCTCCTATGGGAAAAATCGGTTCCAACGTTTCAACTTAAGATACAGTTTTTGTGTCGTAAGTCTGAGGACTGCCTGCCTGTAAGTACATCGGGGGATGGATCAGGAACCGGGTGCCCCATGGAGGTTGAATGGTCACAAACCTCTGGAAAACCGTTTTAGGCCAGACATAAGGAAACGCTTCTTTACCATCCAAATCTGCAGAGTCTGGACCAGACTCCCCCCTGGGAAGTGGTGCAAGCACTGACTCTGGACACCTTTCAGAAATGCTCAGATGCTCACCTGGCCGGGGTCCTCTGACCCCGCTGATGTCCTGCCACTCGGGCAGGGGGGCTGGCCCTGACACTCTTGCAAGGGCCCTCATAGCCCCAGCATCTATGAAATCGATGAAGACGGATGCAGAGAAGTGGGAAGGCAAGGTCGTTTACTCCAGTTTCTCAACCCAAAAGTGAGACTACAAGAAGGGGCGGCAAACAACGCATTTTAAAAAGGGGATCTCCTTTCAAGGAGAAAAACGTGGGGTGGCTTTCCCTTCGCAGGGGGAAGCTCTGCCAGACCCACCCCTCCCCTCACACTGAGGGGTCGGGAGTGAGGGGCCTGGTCCAAAACCGGATGAGAGCCGCTGCTCCAGCCCAGCCCCTGCCCGAGGCAACCCCCCTCAAGGGGCAGAGCCGTGCCCCCCGCGGGTGCCGGGTCCGGCCTCACCTGGGTCACGGGGGCGACACCAAAGCCCGCGGCGGCGGCCTCAGGCGCCTCCTGTCAGCCAAGCAGCAACAAAACAACGGCCCTGCGTCACTTCCGGCCGCGCCATCTCTTTCCCCTCCTTCCCCGCTCCCAGACGCCCCCACGTCGCACGGGAAACTACCCCTCCCAGCAGGCCTCGCGCCGAACCCGCGCCGCCATTCGGAACGGGCAAATGGTTCCGTCCTCCTCCCCCCCTGCTTTCTGATTGGCGGGGTACTCTTGGTCGCTGCCGCGCAGGCCCTAAGGTGAGGGGGGAGGGGCGGTCCCTGGAGACGGCGATGCGTTGCCCTCGGCACCGCCGTTCCCGCCGTCGCTTCCACCTGACGGGCTCGGTGTCGGGCTCCCATGGCCGCCGCGCTCGCCCTCCGCCTCCCTTTTCCCCCGCGGGCGGGCAGCATGGAGGGCAGTGAGCGCGGCGCTGCGGGGGACGCGCTGCTGCAGCGGCTGCTGGACGGCGCTGAGGCC